AGGCTGTGTCCGATGGACTCTGCATTCAAGCTGCAATTCGGTTACACACTGACAGCAGGCAGGATGCTCAGAAACAGGCACGTGAAGTTCAGCTTTTAGGGGTTAAGGGAAGCAGACACCCTTCAGCGTGTCAGGCTCTGTGTAGCCATAGGGAGTCTCTAGCTCTCAGCACTTCATGGACACCAAACCGCCTATTCCCGCTCCTTGAGAAGATCTCACCAGGACCGTTTTAACAGAATCTTTGGCTGAATGTCTACCAGAGGAGCAGGTGATCTGACATCAGGAGACTGAAATTCACTTCTGCTGAGGCATTTCGAATTTAAGGTATGATCCCCAACTCTTTTCCCCAACTCTTCTTAAAGCCCGCTGCTTTCAGTTTGGCTTTGATAGAGGGATACGCATGTCAAAAATGTGAAAGTTCAAACATGCTCCCATGAGATGATCTTTCCACTTCACCATCACTTGCCACTCATCAGCTTTTGCTGCATTTAAATTAGCCATTGCTCTGCCATTATAGAATAAATTCCGTGAGTTCAATTTCCTCTTACCTGCACGTCAGGGAGCGCAGAACGATACTGAACCTTACCTCGTTTGTTTACCTGAAGTTTTATTTCTACACAAAACCAGTGACACGCAGACACAAATGGTAGGGATTTCCTCAACAACGGTTTCCTTCAGCAAGTGTGCAGACAGAAAAAGCATTCCTTAGACACCCAGCTGGCCAGGTAAGGCATAAAGCAGAAAGGGGAGACTTAAATGCAGTTCAAAAAATGAACGGAGAGAACTCTTGATGGCTGGTTTTTGAAATTTCAGCTGTCTTGGGCTTCAGGACTGTCAGACTTTTAACCAGTCTCAAACGCATGCAACATCATTCCTCAGCGACGTGCAGACAACCGGTTCAGTAAGGAAGGAAGCTGGAGAAAAGTTTTTCAGATCTCCTCCTGACTTACTAGGAAATGGAACCTAAGCTCAGACGACTCTCACTACAAATAAAAAACCAGCCCTCTTCAAATTAGAGGTCCGAGAGCCCATTACCAGCTCAGATAACTGACAGACTAACAGAAGAAGCCTGTTGTCTCGGAGCCATTTCACATCTGTATGTTTATTTCCTCAGGCTTTTGGAGAACAGGACTGGAATCCAAGAAGAGAGCGCTGTTTGGACCTCACCCACTCCAAGCTGAAATACCATTGATTTTTATTTAAACCTTCTTCAGTGGATTTCCCAGCCCCAAAAACTGTCCAGGCGCCATTTCAGTACTCCAGGTCCCGTTGGAGAGCTGCCTACGCCCTGACTGGCTGTCCCGGTTACACGCAGTAAAGTACAATACTGTGCGAGGAACAGCACTATCTATTCACAAGTTACTTTGCGCCACCAGGTCATCAGTTACTTTTGCTCTGGAAGCAACTTGCTTGGTTTCAGGCTTTTTGACCCACAGAAGTACAAGCATGACACAATCACATCGGCACTCTATTCACCCTCAGGGTCCCTCCTTCTGTTCTGAGCTTGGATGATATTTTCATTTCCAGGTTTGGTCTGTAAAATGAACTGGTTAACTGACAATTGTCACGTATTAATGATACATTCAGTACTTACAACAGTCCAATACAGCTTATACAGAAAATTACACTTGGAGCTCATCCTAGCTTTACAGAGAATCATCCTCTGAATGAAAATGATGAGTTAAAACAGTTTCAACAATTGGTGTCGCAGCTGTTTTTTCTCTGGACAGGAGAAAACCTTAGTTGTGGCGATGACCTGGTTCACCACCTACTGCTACATATAAAGCCAGACAACTCAAAACCAGGGGGTTACATAGCTAATGGGAAGAACATACTGATGGTGACATAGGAAGGAAGTTGAACTGGGGCAGGGAGTAGGAGAAAAATCAACAAAATAGTAGCAGTTTCTTACTCAGAGTTTGTTGCCAGTGAATTTGTTCTATTGTTTCACCTGCAATTCACACCTTCCTAAAAATACACCTAAACTTCATAAGAAAGTTGAACTGGGGCAGGGAATAGGAGAAAAATCAACAAAATAGTATCAGTTTCTTACTCAGAGTTTGTTGTCCGTGAGTTTGTTCTATTGTTTTACCTGGAATTCACAACGTCTTCCTAAAAATACACCTAAACTTCAGGGGCAAGACAGTCTTACTGCCTTCAAATCCCTTCTGGACCATATATGTGTTGACAATGCTCCTGTGACTTCTCGAGACTCGGCTTAGAAGGATAATAAAAAATGCTTTTTTTGGTGAAAAGCAAATGCCGTGTGAGAAAATGTCTTTGTACAATGAGGGGTGGTGTCCAGTGAGATCTCCCTCGTGTCCTGCCCAGCAAGGAAGCAGACTGTCCAATGCTATTATACAATTCGTATTTTATCCCTGTGAAAGTGTTCCATTTTGGCGAGCTCTGCAAGAGGAGGTGCCAAATGCTTTCCGACTCTCTTGAATTAAATGGGATAGCTGTCCCACAGGCCTCAGATCTGCTCCAAACTGGCTTCAAGGAGCCAATGTTTATCACGGGGATGCAAGGCCAAAAGCACAGTTGTTGCATCCAAGGAAGTCACTCCTTGAGAGTTCTCTTAGCCAATGTAAGATCATTACCAGGGCTGGATAATTACACACCTATTAACAGAAGCAGTCATTATACTTGCATAAGGGAGGAGAATGGTGCCATCAAATCTCACGCTCTAGGGTCTAAAGCAATCATCTGCAAGCGCCATGGCAAAACTGTGGCAAAAGGCTCCCAGAAAACGCCAAAGTGGGACAGATCTCTTCCTCAGCAACAGCTAGAGGTGGGGATGCCTAGAAACAACGTATGAGAACTAACAAACCGCTTCAGCCAGGACCCTGATTCGAAGAGAGCAGCCCCGCAGGAATGAGAGAATCCCACAGCAGGAGCAGGGCTCTGCAGCAGCTCACCACGTTGTGACGAGCATCCAAGCTGCACCGCGAGGGCATCGGTTTTACCCCAGCAGCTGATCTGACAAAGAGGGGAACAGACATGCTAGACAGAGTAGAATTACGGTCTCTCTGTACCATTAAGCCATGAGCCAAATATCAAGATGTGTTCCCTCAACAACCTATTTCACTGAGGAATCCTGATTGAGGGGAATTTAAATATTAACTTCTGAAGGAATGGTATGAAACTAGGGAATTCAGCATGGAAGGAGAAGGGAAGAGAGAGTGACTGCTTTCCCTTCTCTCTGTGGGCATATTCAGCTGCTGACAACGTTGGCAAGAAGATGGACAACCCATAAACCCCAAACATCTGGGGCAGTCATTAACAGATTCATTAAGGTAATCGCATGCCAGAAACTCTTTAGGAACACTGGAAAAGAATACCCATGCTTACCCAGATTTGGGAGGTGGTGGGGTGTTTATGAGGGGGTGACAAAATACCTGTGACTTAACACATTAACCCTTTAATAAGAGGTTAAGGATTTCTGAGAGGAGTATTTGACTCATGGCAAAAGGACAGCTTCTCAGCTGAGAGGCAGCCACACTTCTGCATAGGTAACCCAGGTCCTTTGGCCCTTTTACTAGTGATGCTGGGTCATTTCTCTGGGGTTTGGCACTGGATGCTAAACGAGGCACTCTTTCATCTACTCAGCTGCACAAAAAATAGGAAAATAGGCATTTCTTATGCAGGGTGGACAGTAAATCTATCATCCATCGCTGGGCTTGTCAGACTGGATCAGAATTGGCAATTCTACCATCTATGAAAGCCAGGACCAGAGCTCCTGAAGTGAGCTCATCCTTTCATGTTCTCTCTTTACACTGTTCTTCTACAGCAGCAGCATTTTTCTTATTGCGTAACTGATTTAAAGGGTCTGAGGGGAAGACAAATCTCTAACAGATCCTGGCTGTGTCTTTGCGATCTCACTTTCATTTCCCTAATGGGTCTATTGTAATTAGATTTGCAAAACCAGCAAAAGGTCTCATTTTGAATGGCAACAGCTGTTGACATCAAGATTACATTGAATAATTTACTGGTTTAATTTTAGCTTCTAAACAATAAGAGCCTCTTGTCGAAGATTACTGCTCTGGCTACAGCGTTCTCTTCTTTCCCCTGGCTGCCGCTCCCTTTGTCTGCAGGCTGGACACCACCAGTCATCTCAGAGACGTCCTAATGCGGCCCAGCAAAACCACAGCCGCGTGTATGACCATTTTGTTGCACAGATTCTGGCTGAGCTACATGGGCCTTCTAAAGGCAACAGTGATTCTGGGCCCTTAGGCAGGGCCAGAGAAACCGATGCTTGGACTGTGTACGGAGCCTGGTTTCGTTCAGAGAAACCCTTTGCATCAGTCCCTATACGAAAAAGAGGGCAGCCACACTTTCATCTCACAGTTGTGCTGCCACATGAGTTCATCAATTCCAAGGAACAGATATGAAAATTCTGTCAAAAAGTGAATACTAAAAATACAGTCATTGTGCCGGCCTACATTTACGTAAGTGTCACTTGGCAGCTTTTGCTCCAAACCAGTGCTAGCTGGAAGGAAAGCCTAACGCAGGGCTGTGAAAAGCTGTCCTCTGTGCTTTTCAAAAGGGATATAAGCTTTTTTCTGATAAGCTGCTGCACATTCATGACCGGAACCTGAATGACATGAGAGTCCTGGAAATCAAAGGTTACATCACTGCTGCACACACTCTGATTTCAGGAGTGGGACAAGTGCTTTATGAAGCCAAACTGCATCTAAATCACGATGTGCTATAAACAGTAAAGAGGATGGCTCACTTCACAGAATTCACACTTACCCTTGGGTGCAGTTTGGATGACACGGATGGCACTCCCGATCCTCATCAGCGTATTTGAAAATGAAGCTGTTGGCCCCCTGTAAGCCATCAGGACATTTTTCCACACAATTTGGACCGTCCTTAAAATGGAAACACTTTGTGCAGTGGTCAGGTCCCTGGAGAGAGTGGAAGAAAGCAGTGCAGTGCGTTCATGTTACTGTGTCTTTTCCTGCTGCACTAGAACTGCAGGTCCTAGCACGACAGCACACTCAGCAATAACTGTAGAAACATTTCTTTCCCAACAACCAGCGAGTTTACTGCATGGTCCCAGTCTCTGCTAAGAGGGAGCACACATGTAAATCCTGGTGCTTTGGGCCGTGAACTTATTCTATAGAGTGTAAGAGTAAACTCCAGCTTCCTCAGTATTAGTGTGATTAACACAAAGGGCTTCACGCCCACTTTAACTCTCAGAGATTTCTAGCAACGCTGTTCAGTACTGAACCACATTTGCAAAGCAACTGCAATGGCCTTTCAGTGGGATCCCCTATCTCTATGCTCCAGAATTACCTTCCACACTGTGTTCTCCCTACAGTACCTGGTCACAACAAAACTGAAGAACTGCAAGGTCTAATTCTTCTTGTAGACTAGACTGTTAAAAACTATAAACCAAGGCTCCTGGACAATGTAGAAGTAAAATTTTAAAGCTGCACTGATAAACCAGTGTCTAATCAAATCTAGTAGTCAGGTTGGGCACTGGTCTAGGATTTTATGTCCATGAGCCTGCTACAAATCTAGATTTCCCTCACGGCTTGAGCACTTGGAACCTTAGCTTCTTGCTTTATGGCTGTGTTGCATAAAACACAGCATTGCAACAAAAATGATGATCAGTGATTGTCAGTGTAATGCCTTTTTTCCATTCAGTAGGTAAGTCACAGAAATAAGGAAATAAATTACCAGGTAAGTTTTCTCAGTGATGAAATGCTAAAATATAACAATAGCCAAGGATACTTGTGACATTTAATCTTGGCAGTATACAAAAGACGGAAGGAAAGAGGCAACTTCTACCTCACAAAAAAGCAATAATATTGGATAGAAGACTCACTAGCCATTACAAAGGTGACAGCCACAGTCAACACCGATTTACAAATGCATGAACAAAATTCCCTATGAAAATAATCTAAAAGGCTAACTTAAGTAAAAAAACCAAACAACACATTGCTGGAGCTCACTGAGAGACTGAGACAAATTCCCACACCTTTCTGTGGAGAAAAAAAAGCCCAAACAAAATAGTCACTGAACTTGTAGTAGAACAGGTATGAAGAATGAAAACAGTGATAAAAGAGGGCACTTACATGGCAACTGAATTCTACCTGTAATTTAAAAACTTGGCGCACGTGCATCGCTACAGCATTAAGACAACAGCTCAGGAAAGAAAAGGACATGACTGTTTAAACCATTTTCTTCCTACACACAGAATATATACATTTTCTGCTTTTGTTAGCACCCATTTTCAATAGCTGCTCTAAACCCTACCAGCAGAAAACGCCTGTACTTTAGCACACATTAATAAGCTAGCTGGTAATACACTGAATTTTGTTCTTACCGGCCCATAGCACGTGATCATATTTTCTTCCATCTTTTCACACTGGGGATCACACTCCACGCAGACAGAACCATTTGCAAATTCTCGAAATTCTCTAAGAAAATACACAGCAGGCAGTTAGGAGAAAGGAAAAGTGCGACTGAAACAGGGATAAAGCACCCACCTCTTCACCTGGTGTAAATCATTTAATCAGGCTGTGCCAGCTGACAACATTATGCTGCTTTACACCAGCTGGAAACCAGACCCAGCAGCCGTCTCCCCCCCAGGCAGGTGAAGCAGAAGACATCTTGCTCACCAGTATAAAACCAGAATGTATTTTCTCCTTTTTCCTTAAGAAATAAGTTCTTCGTTACACAAGACAAAGCAGTTAGTTTCTTGATTTTTATCTGAATTGTCACTCACAGCTCAGACTGAGGAAACCACTCGTTCCATGTGAGACATGGCTATCAGATACAAAAGGATTTGAAGGAGCACTGATGCACAGTGCTGTTCTTGCTGTTTTAGTCAAGTCTCTGTGTTTTAGTCAAGCCCATTCTCCAAAAGGCTTGTAACTTTTTCCATCAACAAGAATTCTAGAGGTCTGCATCTCTAAAATGTCAAAGCAAATCCTTTTGCTCATTTGTTTCATGTATCTACAAGAAACTATCACCTAAGTGATTTATTTGGTTTTATTAAACACATTAGGATGGGGAAGCAGTGATAGTAGGTGGGATTTGATTCATCAAACACCAGATATCTCATTCCAGCTCCCATTTGCCACTCAAAAAAACCCCCTCCAGCACTTTCTCAACACAATCTATCCCACCTTCCTCTAGGCTGAGATGAATTAACATCTGAACAGCTCTGTACCAGTCCCTGTTAAACATCTTCACTCCCACTAACCAGAGGGACTCCATGGAGCTAGCTCAGACTGGACACCCAGGCTTTGCAGATGGATCCCATCTTGTTGCATTAACCAGTTAAAACATTTGCATGAAACAGCTGAATATGTGCTATGTTAGTGGGCTCTAGTAATATTCAGGTAAAGGTGAAGGCCCCTGTGCTTAGGTTATCCATGTTCTCCCTCTGCTCCTCTATAGCCGTTAAAATCTATTACCACGATACAGCTGAGGAAAACCACACCTGGCCACGGCAAGTGAGCCCACCCTTTGGAGACGGAGCTTTCCTTCTGAGGACTGAAAGAGAAGTCAAATACAGCTGACCCTAGCCTGAAGTACTGGTACTGCCCTGCAAGATGCATGTGCAGCGCTCTCAAACAAGCAAACGACAAGCTTCTCCTCAAGCCCAGGTCACAAATCACGTACGTAAGATGGAACTTAGCCTGTGGAATGTGTAAATACCATTCACTAATCGATAGAGATCAGAACTCCCCAATTTGAGGGCTGGGGATGAAAGCCTTCTCTTGATCTTAATGTGATAGGCTCCATGGCCACACCAGCCAGCAAATGTGCTCCAGTGAGAACAGTCGTGGTTCGCAACCCTCCTTTTTTCAATTTTGGAGGTTGGGTGTTAGGTTTTTTTAATATGGTTGGGGTTTTTTGGGGTAGGTCGGGTGGGAGGACACGAGCTTTTAAGCATCTAAAACTGTACTCTGACAAGATTCTTTTTGCATGCACTGTCCAGATAGAAGAGTTTAGAATCTTTTCCCATCTATATGGGAGTTCATTCACTACTCCTTCCATAACAGTTACATGAGTTGGCATCCCAAGCAGGCAAAGAAAAGAGAAAGAATCCATACTGCGATCTTATTTTCAATTAACAGTTTGAGCTGAAAAAGATAATTAAAATAATCTAGATTTTACATTTTGACTTTAAAAGAGGTGCCAGGGACCTTGCTATACAGTTATGCAGGAAGTAAAATTCCACCTGCCTAATTATGAATTTCTTCTGCTGCAGATAATAGCTCTATTTTGCTGTCATAAGCCCAGCTCAGCCACCCTGGCTGTGCTGTATGTAGGTATTCCCTCACCCATCCTCCAGACAAGATGATGCACATGCATGAATGGGGGATGGAAAGGGGGAAGAACCCATGTTGGTTTTATTATTTATATCTGTGTGTACACATTCACAGTGTATTAATGAAAAAAAAAGAGTTGTCCTAATTTGGGGTCCGTATTCCCTACCGCATGCCTAAACCTAACTAATCTGAAAGAACGAGACTGTATGTGTGTCTGAATAAGGGTGTCAGCATTCAAGTAGGGCTAAGCAGTGGGGGTTTTAAGTCTTCCCCTAAATCAAATTGTTCACAGCCTCAGGAATGCAAAAGGTGCAACAAACTTTTGATGTTGCATGAAAATTTTAGTCAGCAGAATACGAGCTAATAAAGCCTTCTACTCAGCTTCAGATTTGGACATACTTAAAACTTATCCCACGATATGTTTCACTCAGAATCAGTCATATTGGCAACAGAACCAGGTATTGATTAGTGTAAAACCAAAACAAATTACTCATGAAAGTCTTGAGCAATGGAGTCAGCAACTTTAGGGAAACAGAGAAGTCTCCAGGGAGCCCTTACAGCACCTTCCAGTACCTGGAGGGGCTACAAGGAAGCTGGGGGGGACTTTTTCCAAGGATCTGTAGTGACAGGACAAGGGGTAACAGGTTTAAATTGAAAGTGGAGAGGTTTAGATTGGATATCAGGAAGAAGTTCTTCCTGGAGAGGGTGGGGAGGCACTGGGACAGGCTGCCCAGAGAAGCTGTGGATGCCCCATCCCTGGAAGTGTCCAAGGCCAGGCTGGATGAGGCTTGGAGCAACCTGGTCTAGTGGAAGGTGTCCTTGCCCATGGCAGGGGGGTTGGAACTGGATGATCTTTAAGGTCCCTTCCAACCCAAACCAGTCTGTGATTCAATGCAAGGCAAGTATCTTACCCATCATGCAGGTTACAAGACTCTATGCAGGTCCTTCCCCTGATGAAGTGCTTGCAGGAGAGACACTGGTCTGGCCCTGGCCCCCAGCAGCCATCGCTTGAGCATAACTCATTACACACCATTCCATCAGCAGCTGCAGAGAGAGAGGGTACTGTCATTTACATAGTCCTCTGAAACCCAAACGAAAACCTTTCGTTCAGCATTCTGCCATACTCAGAAAAGTAAACTGGACATTCAGATTTTCTAGAAACAGAATAAAGTCAGAAAGTTACCATCACACCACTGTGCACTCACAGTCTGAATGCTATACGCACTTCTGGTCTGCTCCTTTCAGAAATGATATAGTGGTGTGAGAAACGGTTCAAAAGAGTTCTGCAAGGATGATCAGAACTACAGTCTCTATACCAGGAATAAACAGACAAGTAGCCTTAGATATGGGTGAGAAAGAACATGGTAAGGTCTGTGACATCGCGAACGACAAGAAGAAGGTAAGTAAGCAGGAAACCCCGCTCCATTGCTTCTTCCGAGTCCCTCATGGGCATCCAGAGACAGCAACGCACCAGGGCTCGAAACTGAGATTTTTTCACTTCCAACCCAAACCATTCTATGATGCTGTGTGCAGTCGGGAGCAGACACACTCCATACAGGTATAAAACAGCAACGGCACATGCCCAGCACACATTTAAAGAGGGGCAATAGCAAAATCAGCAGACAATTTTTTTTTTTTTTTTTTTTTTTTTTTGTGCAAAATGCAAAAGCCCTCTGGCAGCTTCATATTAAATAAAAGAGAGTGGCTCTTCGTGTGCTGTTTTTCTACACTTCTCTCAATACAGCAGCATAGTTGGGTGACCGGAAGGAAAAAAGAGCCCTATTTTCTTTTGAGGATGCCTGATTGTTTTGTCTCCACTGTCGAGGCTGGAACAGTGCAGACAGGCACTGTCCCTTACAATCTACCTTAACAATTAAAGTTTCCTGAGTTTTATTATCTGAGAAACACAAAGCTCTTCTAAACCACGGAATAGGCAGCAGAAAGATGCCTTCTGCTCTCCACCGCATCTTTCAGCACTGGTTTTCTGTGCTATGGTGTACATAATGTCCCACATCTGAACAACTGAATACCTGTCACAGCAGCCTACTGTGCAGGAGAGCACGCTGCTTCACCCAGCCACTTTCTCCCTGCCCACTGCTCTTCCTCACGCAGCATTTTTGACGTTGGCACCACGTTTGTCAAACAGTTTTCTGCTCCATACAGCATGCCTTGCCTATGTCCCTGTCTATTTTCTACAAGGCAATTCCTGCACCCCCCTTTGCCTGCAGAAATGCAGGAAGTTCATGTCACGCTAGCAGGGTGCTTTCCTTGGATATGCCCTACCTGTCCTGTCCTATCGCCATCGCTCTGCTTCCTGACCGCTGCACTTATTAGAAAGCACGTCTCAGAATAAAGCATGCCACAATTGTGCGCCTGGTTTTTTCCGTCCTAGCCCATGCAGTGAGTAGGCGAGAGGAGTGACGCTGCTGTCGTATTTCCTTTCTTCTTGCAATAGGATATTTTGCTTTATTGAGACTGAAAATGGCACAACTTTACCTACTTGTTTGGTCTTCTGCCTAGAACATTTCATAATTTGGTGCCAAGAAAGGACGTTTTCCCTTTACACTTTACAGGCAGCATAGAAACCAAAGAACTGGGCTTGTTCAGCCTGGAGAAGAGAAGGCTCCGGGGAGACCTTATACCACCTTCCAGTGCCTGAAGGGGCTACAAGGAAGGGGGGGGGGGGGGTAGTTTTTCCAAGGGCCTGTAGTGAGAGGACAAGGGGCAACAGGTTTAAATTGAAAGTGGGGAGGTTTAGATTGGATATCAGGAAGAAGTTCTTCCCGGAGAGGGTGGGGAGGCACTGGGACAGGTTGCCCAGAGAAGCTGTGGATGCCCCATCCCTGGAAGTGTTCAAGGCCAGGCTGGATGAGGCTTGGAGCAACCTGGTCTAGTGGAGGGTGTCCCTGCCCATGGCAGGGGGGTTGGAACTGGATGGACTTTAAGGTCCCTTCCAACCCAAACCATTCTGTGATTCTATGATTTCACGTCTTCCAGACCTTGCAGGCAAACTGAACCGACAGCAAGAGACTCACCAGCATGCTTCCTAGTAGCAGAGCGCTGTGGCTGACCCTGTGTGGCTCTGCTGGATAATAGACGCCTTTCAGCAGGTAGATGAGCACTATCTTATTCAATACAATACCACAAAGTAACCTCAGACATGAAAAGTCCGCATACTCCTCTCTTACCAAGGCTGGAATGCTTGAATACGTGTATTACCTTTTTTTATATCACATAGGCTTTCTTAATGACAACATCTAAAAGGTGATCAGAAGTATCTTTTTCGTTATTCTTTTGCCTCAAAGCCCAAATCAGGTACAGCCAAACATAAAATAAATTAAATTTAGGAGTAATTCCAAGTGGTCATTTAATTTCCTTTAAAGTGTATTAATTCTCAGGGATTCCAGCACAGCAAGAGAGACCTGAGCTATTTAGCATGCCAGTGCATAGCAATGCCTCCTTC